GAAAAATGTTACTAAGTTTTTTCATTTGAGGGAAATAAATGATTATGCCCGCTCAAGGGGATTTTTGCACAAATCTCTATTGCTAAGTATTCCATGACTGTGGTGCACTCTTCTTGCACTTTAGCATTGATTTGTTTCTACTAGCTACTGACTGCTACCACTACTCTGAAGAATAACTATAATACTCCAGACAGAAGCAGAAAACAGAGAACCTAGCCTGTCTCTAAGAATGATCCTAGTTGAAGTACAAAATTATTGTGTTTGGTTACTGAAATCTCATTTAATCTATAAACACGGACACCCCAGATTTTCTAAAACCACTCCTTTTCTATTACACGACAATACACTAATTCTGGTTAACTTTTATGTACTCGGTTATTTCTTACAGGCTTCAGGAATTAGGGGACACTCATTGTTAGAGTTATCGCACATTTTAATGCACAATATAAGATAAACAGAAATGCCAAAAATCTAAACAAAAACACCTTTGGTTTTCAGGTTTGCAGTGACCCTGCCCAGGTAAACCTCTACATAAAACTCATGAGTTGCATTCATGAATATACATAAACTGTTGGGCAAGTATTAGAGGTTTAGAAGAGGTAATGTTTTGGTAATGGAATGTAGAAACTTATGAGGAAAGCTGTCATAGTGGTAGAGCCTTGTATGCCATGTATCCATGACTGCAGTTATAAGCAATTGCAAAGCAGATAAATCACGAACGAGAAGCTTAAGCACTATTACTTGCAAGGAGTGTTTCTTTAAAGAACATTCTCTGATATATTTGATTGTCAACTACATTCTGACTTAAAGTTGCACTGTCACTTATTGACGACTGATGGGAAATAGCAGAGGAAATGCTGCCTTTTGTCAGAGACTGACAATTACATGGGACAAATTTGTCAATGCTCAAATTCCAACACAATCAGAAAAAGTTTTTCATAAAGATTCTATCTTTCCGAAAAGCTCAAAAGTGACAGAGCCACTTGGAAAATAGAAACTAACTTTAAAAGTTAATAATTGCATACAAACGGAAATAACTTTCACCAATGTGTGATGTAATAATATATATATATTTTTTTATCCTCAACAAGTAGACAAGGACTGACTAAATGTATGTTTGCAGTGATTTTATTCCTTTGACATTTTGTGTCCTTATTAATAATATAGTCATCATGACAAGTCTCCTTCAGCATTTTGGCACCGTATGTATCCAGCTGAGTTAATAATATTCTTATTTTGTAGTATATGAGATTATATAAAAATACATTTTTTTGTAGAAGACTTCAGATGTTGTTTCCGAGGAAAAAACATTTTCTTTGAATATGTGAAAATAATTAAACTGTGAATGCTCTGGCTGTCCCAGAGAGTAGAAATGAAGGTAACTAAAGAGAACTTTGAATCAGCAGTTCGGTCCATTAAACCTTTTAAATGTATGTGTATATTGCATTAATATTCGGATCATGTTTTCTTTCATTATCTTGTTTGTCTGATTCCAAACTTCTGCCTCACTTATCTTGAAACCACTTATATGTATATGGTGTGTAACCTATGCTAATATAAATACTTTATGGTACTGTTGGTTTGGTATTCTCTAGTCTATTCATAAATTGTCCCTCGGCTGACAGTCAAGGTACAGGGGTTGAATGAAAGGACATTGGTTCTGGACAATATCTTTAGTGTAATATTACACACTCCCCTGATGCACATCTAATAACATTAGTGTAAGCTCTTCCATTGGCACTACTGGAAGAATGCTGCACAAAATCAACTTCCCATCCAACATGATGGGACATTAACAGAGGCAATCTGACACTATATCACTTCCAGTTGTATTAACCTCCAAAGATTAGAGTGTGCAGAAACAAAGCCAAGTTAAAAGCAACAAATGCACACCATAGATCCTTCTCGGGTAACTAACCCCACCGCCCACTAGGTGATTGAAAAGGGACTATTTGTAGAATATCTTACTACCGTGTTTCCCCTAAAATAAACCCTCCCCCGAAAATAAGCCCTAGTCGGATTTTCGGGGTGGGCTGCAATATAAGCCCTACCCCGAAAATAAGACCTAGGCATCATACCTTTGCGGCGAGACTTCCTTCTTCTGCTGTAGGAGGAGCGTCGCGCAACGTGATGACGACATTTTGCAGCGCCGTCAGTCTGCCTTCACGGATCTTCAGCGGAAGGATCCATTTCCGGGCGGTGAGGCTCCCAGTGGTCGGACTCGGCAAGGAATCTTTGAAATGTGAGTACCGCTAGATATTTTATGTCTGGGATTAATTGAATTAATTAAAGGGGGTGGGGTGGGTGAATTAATTAAAGGGTGGGCTGGATTAATTAGAGGCGGGTGAATTAATTAAAGGGTGGGCTGGATTAATTAGAGGGGGGTGAATTAATTAAAGGGGGGTGAATTAATTAAAGGGTGGACTGGATTAATTAGAGGGGGTGAATTAATTAAAGGGGTGGTGAATTAATTAAAGGGTGGGCTGGATTAATTAGAGGGGGTGAATTAATTAAAGAGGGGTGAATTAATTAAAGAGGGGTGAATTAATTAAAGGGTGGACTGGATTAATTAGAGGGGGTGAATTAATTAAAGGGGTGGTGAATTAATTAAAGGGTGGGCTGGATTAATTAGAGGGGGTGAATTAATTAAAGGGGTGGTGAATTAATTAAAGGGTGGGCTGGATTAATTAGAGGGGGGTGAATTAATTAAAGGGTGGACTGGATTAATTAGAGGGGGTGAATTAATTAAAGGGGTGGACTGGATTAATTAGAGGGTGGGCTGGATTAATTAAAGGGGTGGTGAATTAATTAAAGGGTGGGCTGGATTAATTAGAGGGGGGTGAATTAATTAAAGGGTGGACTGGATTAATTAGAGGGGGTGAATTAATTAAAGGGGTGGTGAATTAATTAAAGGGTGGGCTGGATTAATTAGAGGGGGGTGAATTAATTAAAGGGGTGGTGAATTAATTAAAGGGTGGGCTGGATTAATTAGAGGGGGGTGAATTAATTAAAGGGGTGGTGAATTAATTAAAGGGTGGGCTGGATTAATTAGAGGGGGTGAATTAATTAAAGGGGTGAATTAAAGGGTGGACTGGATTAATTAGAGGGGGTGAATTAATTAAAGGGGGTGAATTAATTAAAGGGTGGACTGGATTAATTAGAGGGGGTGAATTAAAGGGTGGGCTGGATTAATTAGAGGGGGGTGGATTAATTAGACAGTACGGTATTTTGATCCCCAGACAAGATGAGTGCAAAGAGAAAGAGCTATTCTGTCGAGTACAAGAAAGGAATCGTGGAGGACTCCCACGGCAAGAATCTGACCACTTTCTGCAAAGAGATGAAGTTAGATCTCCGAATGGTCCGAAAATGGCGAGCAGAGTATGGTAACCTCAGTCAAAAGGTGGACGAGGGAAATGCTAAGAAGCGCAAGTGTGGATCAGGTCGCCAGCCATTATATCTTGAGCTGGAAAATGTCATCTGTGAATGGATTGCTGACAAGAGAGCAAAAGCTTTGGTTGTGCGCAGGGCTGATATTCAAACATTTGCCCTTGAAATAGCACCACAATTCGACATATCCACAGAAGATTTCAAAGCATCACACCACTGACTGGATGGCTTCCTTAAGCGATATGAACTGTCTCTAAGAAGATCGACAACACTGTTCAAGCTGGAAGATAATGAAGTTGTTAAACGTGCACTTGCATTCAAGTTCTTTATTGATGGCATAGACTTTTCTAAATACCAACTCTCCAACATGATTGCGATGGATGAAACTGCAGTGTATATGGGCCAAGGATCTCAAATGACAATTGATCAGAGGGGAGCCTCCTCAATCTACGTTCCCTCCACTGGTTATGAAAGTGCACGTGTTACTTGCGTTTTGGCAATTTGTCTGGATGGAACAAAAGCCACACCTCTAATTATCGCAAAGGGCAAGAAAGATAAGATTGAAGGCATTTCAGGCATTTATGTTCTTGAAACAGAAAAAGCCTGGTGCACACAAGCAGTTATAAGAAAGTGGATCGATTTAATGCTGCCACTTGTTCTGAGAGGTGGCCAAAGAGGTTTGCTAGTCTGGGATTCAGCCAGCACTCACCGCGCAAAAGACATGAAGAACTTCCTTGCAGAGAGAAGAATAGATCAAGTAATGATTCCCGCAGGAATGACTGCTTATCTCCAAACTCTTGATATTGCAATAAACAAACCATTCAAGGACCATTTGCGCACGGAAATCAATGAATACTCTGAAAATAGATTGGTCAGAAATCAGCGTGGAAACTTTGTGAAGCCTAAACTGCTAGAGGTCGTGACATGGGTGAAGAATTCATGGGATAAAATCACTGACAGCTGTGTTGCCAAAGCACTACGAGCAGGCTACATGGACAAGAAGTACTTGTTTAAGGAGAGCTATATTGCTTTCCATGAGAGATTAGGCCCAATGGTTCAAAAGGAAATGGAGATGCAAGAAATTCAGGCTGGCAATCAGGGTTTGGAGAGTTATGATGATATTCCAGAAGAAGATGACATGATTGTAATTGAATAAATGTTGTTTACGGTAGGGAGAGCTACTGTACCATATATTGCTGTAAATGAGAGATTAGGACCAATGGTTCAAAGGAAAATGAAGATGACTGTACTGGTATTTGAAGAAAAGTTGTTTAAATGTTGTTTAAATGTTGTTCAATGTACATACCGGTACCGTAAATAAATAAGCCCTACCCTGAAAATAAGCCCTAGTGTGTTTTTTGTGACTAAAATTAATATAAGACCCGGTCTTATTTTCGGAGAAACACGGTATAAGAGGCTATACTGTGGCTAGGATTATCTGAGGGAAACTAGTGTAAAAAAAGCTCAAGTAGTCTTGTATTTACACCACAACTGCCTTGCAAGCATGTCAGCCTACCTGTTCTTAGTTGTGTATTTGTATGAGACAATGTACTTGAGGAGCTATAAGTGGATAAAACAACAAAGTTTTTCTGACGTTAACCAATATCGCTCTGCTCCATACATCTATACATTGGAAATTAACTTCTCAGAGATCAAACCATACGAGTGTAATGTCAAAGAGTGGGTGGCTGTCTGAGATTCACCAGTCACCAGCGACATTGACCTTGAGGGTAATTGGATGTTTGGTATCATTAAATAACAATAGCAAGAGAAAATGCTGCTGAAAGGTAAAACGCTTCATGGCTGAAAGTTAATTCATTGTGTCAACTTCTTAATCTAGGGAGGTAAAGGAAGTACTACCAATGTGAACTTTTGAATATATAATCTATAATAATTAGCAAAGCCATTAACATTTGTAAGAACTGTAGTCTTAAGTATCGTGCCACTATAAAATGGCTGCTTAGCTGGCCAGATTAATTTCAATCCAGTTAGATACGCAACATTGGCCTTAACAAATACAGTTATGGGATTGTTCACTTAAATAAGAATTCTGGAACTATGATGTTATTTAAGGCCACTCCTCTTGGCTGTGTCATGGTCTTAGTTACCCGAGAGTGATTTATGGTGTGCATTCATTGGTTTTAACTTGGCTTTGTTTCTGCATACTCTAATCTCTGGAATCCCTGCTTTGTCTCTGTTTAATAATTTCACAAACACTCTGTACTCCTTGACCTTGGCCTGTCACTGTTTACTCTTGTTTGTTATTATTGCAGACTATATTATATACTTTCATACATTGAGCCCAGCTACCGAAGGACAGGTAATATGCTCTCCTATAGTATAGGATACTCTTAGCACTTGAATTTCATGTTGGTCAGTATAGTTACTAAACAAGGGGCAAGCCCAGTAGGAGTCTACACTGTCTTTCTCTGTCAGCCTAATGTCAATTTGGATTACACATTGAACAATCACAAAAGTAAAACCATGTGCCTAATGTCATTTAGCTCCCCCTCGTGCTGCCAAAGCAGCTCTGATGCATTAAGGCATGGACTCCACCAGACCTCTGGCACAAACACATTAGCAGGATATCCTTTAAGTCCTGCAAATTGTAAGGTGGGGCCTCCATTAACTGGATTTGTTGTTCCGTGTTTGCTGAATTGTATTGAGACCTGGGACATATGGAGGCCAAGGCAATAGCTTCAACTCATTGTCATGTTTTTCAAATTATTCCTGAACAATTTCTGCAGTGTGACGGCATGCATAATCCTGCTGAAAGAGGCTACTGCCATCAGGGAACACCATTGCCATAAAAGGGGGGTACATTGTCTGCAACAAATTCTAGGTAGGTGGTAAAAGTAACATCCACACGAATGCTAGGACCCAAGGTTACCAGTAGAACATTAGCCACTGCCTCCACTGGTCTGCCTTTTTCCCATAGTGCATCATGTGCCATCTCTTCTTCAAGGTAACAATGCACACACACCCAGCCATCCACGTGAGCTAAAAGAAAACTTGATTCACCAGGCCATCTTCCATTGCTCCAAGGTCCAGTTCTGAGGCTAATGTTCTCATTGAAGGCACTTTCTATGATGGACAGTGGTATTCTGACCGGTCTGCAGCTGTGTAACCCTATACACAACAAACTGTGATGCACCTTTCTATCAGGGACATCATTAAGTTTTTCAGCAATTTGACCTACAGTAGCACTTTTGGGCGATCAGATAAGATGGGATAGCCTTCGTTCCCCATGTGTATCAGTGAGCCTTGGACGCCCATGACCCTGTCTAACTACCGCGTTGCGGGAACACCCTACAAGACTTGCCATGTTGGAGATGCTTGCCATGTTGGAGATATTGTGCATTTTAATGCACAATATATGATGAACAGAAATGCAAAAAAATCTAAACATAAACACCTTTGGCTTTCAGGTTTGCAGTGACCCTGTCCAGGTAAACCTCTACATAAAACTCATTCTTTGGGCCTATCAAAGTCACTCAGATCTTTTTGCTTGCCTGTTTTTCCTGCTTTCAACACTGAAATTCAAGTAAGAAAACTAGCTGTTCTCCTGCTGCCCAATATATTCAACCTGTTTACAGGTTCCATTGTAACAATATAATCAACAGTATTCACTTCACCTGCCAGTGGTTTTGTTGTGGCTGTATAGAAATGGTAGAACATAATTTCAAATTATCAAAGGATGAATAGGTAGATTTTATACTTCTAAAGTTAAAATAATGCATGCATCTGAGCAAATGGGGAAAACAAAATAATTCGGTATTCTCTAGTGACATTGTATTTTAAAATGTGAGTATAGAGCGCTCACATTAAATAGATAAAGAAGATGGTTTAGCACACGTAAATAGGAAAACAATGAAAGCAAAAAAATCATATGACAGTCACTGAAATAAAATGTTCAGGAGTCCTTACTCAAATGTTTTTCCATTAAGATAGATCTGCAGAGGTTTTAAATATAGCCAGGATAACTTGGAAACAATGTAGGAAACGTAAGTAGTGCATCAGTTCAAATGGTTTGGAAACTGAAATCATTCAGCTCCATTTAAGCTAGCAGGAAAAAAGAAAATATGATGAAAGCCAAACTCAACCTTTAGTCCCTCAGCCAATCCATTAAGGACAAGGAATAAGATAAGGAACTAAGAATGCACAGGTATTCCATTTCACATTGGCTGCTTATAACTGAATTCCATGGTCTAAAAGCTCACTGATATATTGCTGTGTTGCAAATTCACGGCATTGGCAGAGAAAGTAGCCCTCTTTGGAAACCCTATCAAAGGCTTCAATATACTGTGTGTCTTTTGATCATTCTATGAATTGTCTTCCTGTGTCAATTTACAAACCCACATACCAGAGCCACCATTAATAGAATACATTTATGACAGATAGTGGTTTATAGTGGATAGTGGTTTATATTAGGTTTCAGAAAAGCATTGTAAGGATTGGTCATAAAGATAGATAGTGGTAGGGGCTAATTGTTTTGTTTGGACTTTGGTATATGCGTTAGGCAATAGGAAGCATTAGACATTACAGGTAGGGTTATACTTTAGGAGTTTATGTTTAAAGTTAAGAATAGTGTAACTCCTAAAATAGGTAACTTTTTTGTTAAAAACAGAAACATTTCACAAAATTTTAATTAAATGGTATTGTTTTGCATTGTTTTATATAACTTGACCTCTGTTTTGTTTCTATCATTTGGATATTCTATCGTGCACTTTAACAAAAGTGCCAAATTAATTTAGCTGAAGAAAATAGGCTTGTTAATTTCCCAAAGAGGG